TAAGGTCTGTGCAGAAGCAAATGGCAACAGTTTTTTGGGATAAGAAAGGAGTTCTGCTGGTGGACTACCTCCAACAGGATTCCTCCATCAATGCAAAATATTGCTGTGCTTTATTGACGAAGTTGAGGCAAGGAAAACCATTGAGGAAGGCTCTCAAAAGGTGTCATCCTGTTGCATGACAACACCTCATCACACACTGCAGGTGAAACAATGACAAAACTGACGTCCTTAGGCTTTCAAGTGATGCCCCATCCACCCTATTCTCCAGACCTGGCTCCTTCTGACTATTATCTGTTCCTCAAACTCAAAAAACACCTAAAGGGACAACAATTTGGGAGTGTTCTGGAGGCAACTAATACTGCAAATGAGTGATTACACCAGCAGTCAAAAGAATTTATTTGCAGGGATTTAAGAAGCTGCAGGACAGATTTCGCGAGTGCATTGACTTCCTGGGGGAATATGTAGAATAGTGTGGCAGTTACAGCTTCCTAGCCCAATACTTATCAGCACCCTCTCATACTGACCATGCAATAGGAATGGTTGTGAAAAATAACACATACAGTGGGGTCTTGACTTAAGAATGGCTTGAGTTAAGAACATTTTGACTTAAGAACCGCTCGCATAGGAAAATATTGACTTGACTTAAGTACTTAGATTTGAGTTAAGAACTGAAAAAACCCACGTGGGAGGCAGGGAAAGTGCAAAATTTGAACTTTCGGTTAACTAACAAAACTGACCTCCTTAGGCTTTCAAGTGATGCCCCATCCACCCTATTCTCCAGACCTGGCTCCTTCTGACTATTATCTGTTCCTCAAACTCAAAAAACACCTAAAGGGACAACAATTTGGGAGTGTTCTGGAGGCAACTAATACTGCAAATGAGTGATTACACCAGCAGTCAAAAGAATTTATTTGCAGGGATTTAAGAAGCTGCAGGACAGATTTCGCGAGTGCATTGACTTCCTGGGGGAATATGTAGAATAGTGTGGCAGTTACAGCTTCCTAGCCCAATACTTATCAGCACCCTCTCATACTGACCATGCAATAGGAATGGTTGTGATAAATAACAGATACAGTTTTATTAAGTACAGTTTGTGATGCTAGATTACTGACTTCTTATTGGCATCCAATGCATTTAACTTACATAGGTTACAGTTACTCTTTATTATTCTTTATCCGTCACTATGCTACTATCAGTGCACCAATAACATCTGTGATTTGGTATTGGATTTTATTAAGAACTACCCATGTGAATATTGGTCTGAATCTATATTTTGCTTTTGAAATTTCCAAGCTTTGAAAAGTGCCATTCTTCATGGGCTAGATGAGTGACACTTTGTTGAGGAAAATTTATGGAGGGCTTGTGCCCATGTGATGTTCACTGGTAAGCTTACTTATAATGCAAGGAGAAATGTTTGAGTTTTAAAAATAGCCAACTCCTCTGTTTTGTATGTAGTCTGCTAGTTCCTTGTGTGATTATATTATATTATGCACATTTGCACCAGTCACATTTAAAGTGTTAGAACGGTGCTTACCTCAAGCAGAAAACACTACTTGTGAAGCCCTAAAATCAATCTTTTTGTTCGTTCTTCCAGGTTGCTAGTTCCTTGTGTGATTATATTATGCACATTTGCACCAGTCACATTTACAGTGTTAGAGCGGTGCTTACTTCAAGCAGAAAATACTACTTGTGAAGCCCTAATATCACTCTTTTTGTTCGTTCTTCCAGGCAGAGACCATGAGACCTTTAACAGTTTGTTGAGTGAGATGTCTAGCCCTCTTACTAGGCTTGAAATTAAGCCTGGTGTGGGCAACTGTTGGGCTTTTGGATTTTTTTAAAATGTATTTTTTATTTTTAAAAACTGGCCTTTGGATGTTTTTTTCCTATAACTTCCATCAGCCCCAGCGAGCAGGAGGGGAATTTGTGGAGTTTAAGTCTCTCCAAGCTGACTGTTGCCTATTTCTGCATTAAGCCACAGGAGAGGAAGTAGCAGAGGTAGCATGACCAGCCAGCCAGTTGGTATTGATGCTTTCTGATATATTACTGAGAGACACTCCCTTAATCAAACGTGTGTGACCTGCCCTCTGTCGTACTAGGCAGTGAGATAGAAAGTGCTGCTGCAGCTTGATTCAAATTGTGCATGGACTCGCTGAAACTAGCTCAGTATGTGGGAAGTTGGTGTTAGCAGTAATTGTTAGCTAAATAGACAGGGACAAGGCCTGCTAAAATTGCTCCCTGATTGAAAGTAAAACCTGTCAGTCACAGAAATACTGTGCCTTCTTTTGCCTCTTGTTATTTTTCATTTGTGGAGAATTGAGGGAGAAATGCTTCTGTTTTTGTAGCTAACGCTCTATATCTTTGGCTCGCAACCAAATCATTAACCAACTTTTGGAACCGATCTGATGCACTTTTGAAGATTTTCTGCTTTGACTTAAATGTCTTTGCAGTCTCTCTGAAGCCACTCACTTCAGTTCTAGATTAGTTCATCACTGAAGCAAATTCTGTCTTATAGAGTCTCCCTTTGATATAAGGTCCACTTGCTTGTAGCTTCTTCAGAGTCTGTTCAGTGTTATTTATAATCCAGCAAAGTTTGTAATCCAAACAGCTCTGTCAGCTTGCTCTGGTCCCTCTAATAGTTTTCTTACGTTTGTTTTCTTATTGAATAGGTATGGATCTTTGATGGCCCTGGAGGAAATGGTAGACTACTGAGATACAGAATGGGACATAGTGCACCTCCAACAAAGATCAGATATCATGGGCAAAATGGGCAGCAGATTCTTAGTGCCGGTAAGTATTTCTTCAGCTTTTTCTTCTGCAGAAATGAGTAACAGTATTTTGAAGAAAGCGGTGTGATCCTGCTTAGCGTGTTGTTACATCTAGTGTGTCTGATTTTGAAATTCAGTTTCAAATGATATATTAGTCAGAGGCAGGCAGCTTTTTCTCTGAGCTTACCTCACTTTTGCTCAAAATGCAGGATGAATCATGACTGATGTTTACCTGTTTCACCTTTAATTTCCTAGTCTTTCACTTCAGGAAAATATTAGGGTTTTTGTGATCAGTCCAAATGGGAGACTTGCATTTTAATAAAGACTTGCTCTTGTCAGCAGTGTCCCAACATGTAAATGTTAATCTGGGGATAATTTCAAATGGTGTTAGGTAGTGAAGGATAAGTTGAGTTTATTATAAAAGCAGTATTGTAATCCATTGTTTCTATAATCAGTTAAATGTACAGTGATGCCTGGCTTAACAACATTAATTTGTTCCAGCGAAATCGCTGTAGAGCGAAAATTTCATAAAGCGAAATTAAAAAGCCCGTTGAAATGCATTGAAAACTGTTCAATGCGTTCCAATGGGCTGAAAACTCACAGTCCAGCGAAGATCCTCCATAGGGGTGGCCAGTTTTGGTGCCTGTACAGCGAGGAATCCGTCCCTAAGCACAGTAGGGGGGCATTTTGAAACCTGACAATCATCATTAAACAAAAAAAATATAACCATTGGAATCCGTTTTGCTATCGCAAAAGCGATCGCAAAAACCTCACTGTCAAGCGTATTCGTCGTTAAACGGGTTAATCGTAAAGCGGGGCATGACTGTATAGATTGATAAGTATGTCTAAATGATTTTATGAACAGGCATGTCTCTTCCATTTCTTAACATTTTCTTATGTGATAACATAGGTCAAGATGGTACCTTGCAGTCATTTTCCACAGTGCATGAAAGATTCAATAAAAGTTTAGGACGTGGTAAGTGTGAAAGTATATAAAATGGCAACTCTGCAGATAATCAGATATCAGTTAAAATTAAGGATATACACTAGCACCAAGGTTCAGATTTGGAATTTGGAATTACAGCCTTTGGATCTGGAATTCAGAATTTTAAAAATTCAGAATTTCTGGAAATGTGGAACTCTGTAACAGTCAATATGAATACTGTTTAGTCATTATTTTCCTCTTTAAAAAGCACAGACAGGCAAAGGATTTCCCCGTGTCCTTCCCAGTGATTCTGCCAAAGAATTTAACCAACATTCAGCAGTGCCTAGGAATAAGGACATGACTGTAATGGGTGTACTGATTGAACCCTGAACAGTGAAAACCACCAGCAGCGTTGAGCGAGCAGATGACAGGTTGTACTGGGGAGTGGGCAACTACCCTGGGCAGCAGATAGCCTGTGGTGGATGGGAATTGTGTCAGCAGCATAGGGCCCAGCACAGTTGAGTGAGTGAGTACAACCTTGGAATAGTCGTTGCAAGAATGAAAGAGGCAGAAGGAGAAGGCAGCAGATTGAAGCATGGCATACATAGTACTGTGAGCAGGGTGCGCCATTTTTTCATACTTCAGGAAAGTCCAGCAATGATAGGTTGACCTTAAAATATCCCCCCCCCCCCAGATCCAGATTCTGGGCATGAGCAGTGTGGACTGACAATGTCCTCGGCCTGAGAGAATACTCTCTCACTAGGCACACTGGTTGGTGGGCAAGAAAGCAGTCCCACTGCCACTTTGGCCAGATTATCCCCAAACAGGCTCCTTCTCAGCCCAGTACCCACCTTGGCCAGATTATCCCCAAACAGGCTGCTTCTCAGCCCAGTAGTAAGACAAGGAATTGGTCTCTTTTGGCTTGCAGGATTCCTGCCTGTACTGTATGCCTCTACCTCTGCCTTTGCCATGCCCTGCCTCTGGGATGTTGTCTCTGGAGGACAAGCCCCTACTGTGTTTGGCAAGGCATTGTCACAGAAAGATCGCCCTGTTGTTGCAGGGGTGAGAAACTTGGACTCTGGAATAGAACTATTGATACTGCTGTTCGCGGTGGTATCAATATGGCTAGTTTTTCCCAGCTGTGTGTGACCCCTCAGTGCTAGCCAGACCTAACGATTTCCAATACCATTGCACTCTTCGTATTTCTTCATATGCAAGAGTTAATGTGAGTTTCCTTTGAAATGTTTACATACTCTTTGAAGGAATATTTGAAATGTGATTATTTTTAGTTACTGCTTTGGCACAGAGAAGTAACTGTGTCTCCCTAAACCAACAGAAGTCATTTTCAGGAAAGAAAGTATGATTAAAATGATTGTTGGTTTGTTTGCATTACTCTGCTAATTAAATTTGTTTTTGTTTGCTTGTGTAAACATATCTCATCCTATTTTTAGTGTATTTTGCTTTGGGATAACAATCAGAATGAGATGTTATCAAGAGAAGGATGGAAAAATAAGTCTTCCATAGTGTGTAAAAATCTTGAAGTATCTTTGTCATGATTTTCGTATTTTAAAGGTTCTATAAATAAGAAGTCAAAAAAGAAAGGCTCTCAGTATGGTACAATGGCACTTCCTCCTATTACAACATTTGCAGCAGGTAAGTAAATCTTTGATTTGAATGATTGAATAGCTGAGATAAGATATCAAATACTTTTTTAAAAACATCTCCCTGTGTTGCCAGTTTCAGAAAGTATTTCAGAAGCACTTTGGTTTGCATCATGCCTTGCCAATAGAATAACACAGTTTTTGTCTTGTGAAACTGAGACTGCTGTCGACTGAACAAAAGTTGCCACCATAGTTTTGGAAAATTTAAAATTATGGTATATATTGTCGTCATTGTTTGTAGGAAAAAATTGCTACCTTTCCAATTTTTCTTAAGATTATGAACTCTTTAGATTGATTTTGTATTTGGTAATATTGTCCATTTCCTTTGTGTTTCGTGTTCTGGAATTGGGAAATACCTGTTTAAAAATTCACTGGTGTTTAACAAAATAGTGAGCAGATTTCAGAGTTTTTCAGAACTCTTTTTTTGCAGATATAAACTGGATTAGATTCTCAGAGGGGAAAACAGGTGTGATTGCCCAAAGCCTCCTTCAGCTAGGCTTGCTTGCTTGCTTATTTGTTGGTTGGTTGGTTGGTTGATTGATTCAACTTGTATACTGCCCCATAGTATTGGAGCATTCTCTGAGTAGTTAAAAATATAGTTATGCAGATAACATTTTGCCACCTTCTAGCAGAGCACAGGGTTCCTTTCCATAAATTTGTTCCTGCTAATAATGAAAGAATCATCCAGTACGCTATTCCAGAAATTCTTGTTTGTTTGTTTGTTTGTTTGTTTGTTTGTTTGTTTGTTTGTTTGTTTGTTTGTTTGTTTATACATACATACATACATACATACATACATACATACATACATACATACATACATACATACATACATACATACATACATACATACATCCCCCGCCTATCTGGACTACCAGACCACTCTAGGCAGTTACTCCTCTTCTTCATTTCCACTTCAGCCAGTGAAAGGATTTTTTTTCAACCTTCTCCTACCATCACCAGTTTCAAACCGGAAGCCTTTCAGTGGTTAAATGTTTGTTCAAGTCCCTGTTTAGCTCAGCTTTGGCCAGGCATCCAGCATGGATGTTGGTTCCTTGGTAACAGCTACTGAGAAGTGAAGAGGTATTTGTTGTATAAAAACAATAGCTATTTTTATTTTAAAAGCAAAATACAGTGGTGCTTCGCTTAATGAGCGCACCGTTTAACAAAGAATCCGCATAGCGGCACTTTTTTGCGATCGCTAATGCGATCGCATTGCGACGCTTTAAATGGCAAAACATCGCATTGCGATGTTCTAAAAACAGCTGATCGGCAGATCCAAAATGGCCACCGGAAGAAAAAAATGGCCACCCACTCCATTTTTGCACCCTGCCCTCGCTTACCGGGCGGCAAAAATGGCAGCCGGATGGGGGAATCTTCGCATAGCGGCGAGCTTTCGCCCCATAGGAACGCATTAAACGGAGTTTAATACATTCCTATGGGTCCCCCCCCGCATAGCGACGAATCCGATTAGCGACGTTAATCCTGGGACGGATTAACGTTGCTATGCGGGGCACCACTGTAAATACTAAGAGTTAAATCAACAGTGGTACACTTAGGTCACATATATATGAATGCTAATAGTTATCTTTCTGAAACTTATGTCTTCTTTATAATTTATAATCCGATCTAAAGCTAATCTAGCTGTTACTTGTAACAACTGTTTAACATTCGCAGTCCTAACTATCTAAAGTTTCTCATCTGAATTGTTCCCAGTTCAGTCCATTCCCTGTTTGATTGAACTCTTACATAGTAAGAATTCTGCATTTAATTTCAGAGACAGCTCGTCAGAGTGACTGGGATGGAATCATTGCTTGCCATCAAGGTTATGTAACCTGTACTACCTGGAATTATCAGAAATGTTCAATGGGTATCTATAAACTGAAACCAAAAGACTTCAGCAAAAATAAACCTCTTGGTGTATATGCAACAGTAAGTTTTTTTTAAAAAATTGTTGTTTGCATTAGCATCACATATAGAGTAGCATATGTAAAATCAATAATAAAATGGAATAATGTAATACGATTATATGAAATACATAAGAGTATACGAAAGTGAAGATGTACGTTAATTACAGCTGCTGGTGACCTTTGGTTGGAGGTGCGGTTGTTAAATGACAAGTCAAGTGAAAAGTAAGGAGCTGACATTCTGCATGAACCTGCTGACCTGGCTTACATTACAGATATTTGGTTGGCTAAAGCTGGGGGAGTTGGTCTTTCTCAGCCTTGCCCACCTAAGTTCTCTGTGCAGTAACAGACCAGACCTGTGGGCAGGTGGGAGAAGTTGCAATAGTCAGTATTATCAGGTGTTCTGTCCCATGGACTGCTTGGTCTGAGTATATATACCTGAGAGGGAATGCCTGGGACCAGAAAGGGATTCTGCTGATGCACCACCTGCCCTGCTCCCTGCCTGAGCTGGTCTCGGGCATGGTGCTGGAATTACCTTGGCTTGTGGTGCTGGGAGACTGCTGTATCCATGCGGATGGCAGTCTATCAGAAGTTGCTTAGGGATTCATGTCTCCTATGACAACCATGTCTGACCCCACTTACGTTGCAAGGCGCCCTCTTGACCTGGTTTTCTGTACTGAGCAGGATAGTGATGAGGGGGAATTCTCAGTAGTTCCATTGTCATTGACAAATCACTACCTGGCAGGGTTTAGATTTATTTTAACTCTGAACCTTTGGGGAGTTAAAATAAGAGCAATTAAAATGGTCTGCCCTAGAAAACTGATGGATCCAGATGGTTTCTTGATAGCTCTTGGGAAGTTTTCTGTTGTCTTGGCAGGTGATTGTGTTGAGTCCTTGGCTGATCTCTGGAACTGGGAAACAGCCAGGGCTGTTGACACAATCTCTCCTAAACCTCCCTTGTATGGAGTGCAGCCATACTAGCTTCTTAGTTTACTAGAAGAGCAATGAAATAAGTGGGATGGACACAAGACCAGCAAAATTGGAACCTGGATCTGATCAAACATAGATTAAGCTAATTGGAAATCCTACTTTGTGAGCTATTCTTTGCCACCATTGTGTCAGTACAGAACTATCTAGTGGAACTCTTTCAATTGGTCAGAGGCCTGTTGGACAGATGTTCGCAAGAGAGGGATGCTAGCTAAAAATTGGTTTCAATATTGACAAATATTTGATTATTTTAATATAGTTTTTATGGTATTTAAAAAACCTTGATTATTGTATACAGTGGTGCCTCGCAAGACAATGTTAATTCGTTCTGCGAAAAAGTCGTCTTGCGAAACATGGTTCCCCATTGGAATGCATTGAAATCTATTTAATGCGTTCCTATCGGGAAAAATGTCGTCTTGCATAAATCGTCCATAGAAAACATTGTCTTGCAAAGCACCACAGCGATCACAAAAACCAATCATCTTGCGGATTAATCATCCCATGAGGCAATCGTCTTGCGAGGCACCACTGTAATTTTAATTGTTGTTTGCCTTGAGTCTCCAATGAGGAGAAAAATGGCGTATAACATACGTACATGCATATCAGGGAAGTGAGTACACCCCCTCACATTTCATAAATATTTTAGTATATCTTTTCATGTGACAACACTGAAGAAATGACACTTGGCTATAGTGTAAAGCAGTGAGTATATAGCTTGTATAACAGTGTAAATGTGCTGTACCCTCAAAATAACTCAACACACAGCCATTAATGTCTAAACCGCTGGCAGCAAAAATTAATACACCCCTAAGTGACAATGTCCAAATTGGGCCCAAGTAGCCAAAACATTTGCAATTGCAACAGTTTTCTGAGAGAAGGGTTGCATTTTCTGACAGAATTGCAAGGGTGCCAATATTTTTGGCCATGACTGTATGAAGTATTTGCATGTAAAGCAGTTTTGATGTTCAAAAGCTCATTTGTCTAAACAGCTCTAATAAAAATTATTTGAAAGTAAATCAAATTTTATTGAATAATTGCTATCAGAGTACGTAAGATGATGACTTGTTTAGTCACAATACTGAAGAAGATACTGATGTTTGGAAAAAGTTTGGAAAAAGTTTGCATAAAGTTTTATAGTACTGTGTTTTTAAAATAGGATAGGACACAGGCTTTCTTAAGCTTTTTTTTTTTAAAGCAGCAGGGAAATGGCACTAGAAGGAGATAAAAATGTTATTTTATAAAAATTATGTTGTCTTTCTCTTTTTCTGAAAGGCAGCAGATATCACTTCCTGTGGAAACTTTGCAGTAATTGGACTTACAACAGGACATGTGGATGTATATAATATGCAGTCTGGCATTCACAGAGGACGTTATGGCAAAGAAAAAGGTAAAACACTGGAACTTAAGAATATGTTAATAATAATTCATTTGTTTTGTTCTGTGCACAAATCCCATAACTCAAGCTGAGATGGCATCTTGTGGAAATATTCTGGTTTGTTTTATTTTTAAATTCCTGGCTAGTGTTGAAAAGAGGGGGTGCTGACAAATATTGAGCCTTTCCCAGAAAAAACTGAGCTAGGAAGCTGTAACTGCCACACTATTCTACATATTCCCCCAGGAAGTCAATGCACTTGCAACATCTGTCCTGCAGCTTCTTAAGTCCCTGCAAATAAAATTCTTCTGACTGCTGGTGTAACCACGCATTTGAAGCATTAGTTGCCTCCAGAACATTCCCAAATCGTCCTTGTAGGCGTTTTTTGAGTTGGGGAACAGATGCTAGTCAGAAGGAGCCAGGTCAGGAGAATAGGGTGGATGGGGCATCACTTGAAAGCTGAGGAGATCAGTTCTGTCATTGTTTCACCTGCAGTGTGTGCCGAGGTGTCATGGAACAGGATGACAGCTTTGGAGAGCTTTTCTCAATATTTTTCCTTGATGTTTTCCCTCAACTGCGTCAATAAAGCACAGTAATATTTTGCATTGATGGTTGAACCCTGTTGGAGGTAGTCCACCAGCAGTACTCCCTTCTTATCCCAAAAACTGTTGTCATTTGCTTCTGCACCAACCTTTGTAGTCGGAACTTCCTTGGCCTGAGGGAACGACTGTGCCTCCAGTCCTTAGACTGTTCCTTTGTCTCAGGATCATAACAGTAGATCCATGTCTCATCACCAATTACAGGTTTGCCCAGGAAATCTGACTCATTTCTTGCAAAATGTTCCAAAACAGCCACAGATGACTCCACACGTTTCCTCTTCTGTTCAGTTGTCAAAAATTTGGGGATCCACTTTGCTGCCAGCTTTCTCATTTCCAAGTCGTTATGGATAATGGCACCAATTCTCTCACATGATATTCTCAGATACACAACAATATTTTTGGCTGATATTCGGTGGTCCCCCATGATGTTATGGATGGCTTTCACATTTGCAGGCACAGAGACAGAAACAGGCCTTTCACTGGGTTTCTCACTTTCAACACCGAAATGGCCAGTTTTAAAATTGACAGCCCAATGTTTAACTGTTGCATATGAAAGGCCACTGTCACCCATAGTTTGTGACATTTCATCATGGATCTGCTTTGCACCTTTCCCTTGGAGAAACAG